TTTATTTCAGAATAAACTTTTTAAATATAGTACAGTCATCCCTTGGTATTTGTTATGATTTGTGTCTAGTTGTCCTCCCAAAGCCTCATTCAGTGGGGGTGGGGGTGGCCTTCTGGAGTTTGTGATTGATTATTGTGGGTGTGGACGCTGCCCTTGCCCTGGAACTGGTAATTTGCATTACAATGGAAGGAGGGTTGAGAGGCCAGCTAGCTGCCTGAGCTGCTGCCACTCCCTTTGCTTTCCGCTCTTTACCACAGCCATGAACAGTTGCTCTCTGTGCCCTGTACCACTCTGCCTTGGAGCCAGCAGAATATGGACTGAACCTTTCAGTAACTGTGAGCTAAATAAACCTCCCCTTCCTTCATTTTGAGTGTTGAGTATTTGTCCCAGCAACGAGAGAAGAGGAAATGAGACATTATTGCAGTGCCCTCCCCCTACTATGGATATCAAAACCCATAAATGTTCACATCGCTTATATAAGATGATATTGTACTTGGCTATAACCAATGCACAACCTCCTCTATCAACTACAGTTTAACTATCTCTAGATTTTTCACAGTACCTAATACAATGTAAATGCTATTTGAATAATTGCTAAACTGTAGTTTTTTTAAATAGTGACAAGAAAAATGTCTGTTCAACATAAACACACCTTTAAAAATATTAAATCTTGTTGTATGAATTCATTGATGTGGAACCTGTACATACAGAGAGCCAAGCATATCGGGGCACCTTATTTCCTTCAGGTACCTGCCTGTCTTCCCTGGAAGCCACACATGGTCATTTCCTGTGTTACATCATCTAACACAAAAGTTGGCATAGTGATGGTCTCAGTAGATGTTGATTCTGTTGAAACTGTTAAATAGGTAATGAAAGGTGATGACTTGATTCTGGACAGAGAAATAGCTATGTAGGAGACACAGGACTCGCAGAAATTCCTCTTGCCTTTTCCCCATCCCTTACTCCCTGCTGTCCAAGCTTAGATTTTGTGTTTGTGATCACCTTTATAAGCACAGCCTTGCACATACCATCAGTTCTCTCCCCTCACTTACATGGTGAAACACCAACCCGGGGCTGATCTGACTCTCACCTGCTGATCAACATTCAGTCCTCACTCTGGAGGAGGAAGAAGTTAGATGTGGTCACCAGACAAACAGCTTTAGATGCTAGCTCACTCACCAGCACTGGGGTTCAGCCTGAGGGGCATGTGCAGAAGGATGTCTGGCCACATGGTATAGGATTTATCCATTCAAGCAATTTTAAGAAAACAACAATCACCAGGCTCCAACATGTAAAGAGCTTAGAAGTCATCCTATCAATAGGTGTCCAAATTGGACAAATTGAAGATAATCAGTCTTCTTGGAACCACTGGAGAAACCCAGATCATAGGACCAACCCCTCACTTGAGCCCTGGTCAATGGCTACATCCTTAGAGAGGCAGCCTTTGGCCTCTATTTACGTGGAACACAAGCCATGAGAATCAATCAGCCAGCAGGAGCACTTACATTATGATGCTGAGTTGCAGGAAGCTGAGTGAATATTGGACAAAAATGAGACTCTCTGGGGGCCGGCAGTGTTGGAGGGAGGGCCACACTTGCATGGCTTCACTCCAGGAACTCCATTAGATTCCCATGGAGATAATCTGAGAATAGCCTCCTAGTCTGGATGGGGAAGGAGAGAAATGGCATCTTAAAACCACCCATTATAGTCCAGAGGAAAGGAGCACCTGACCTGGGAAGACACAAGCACTGAAGAGAGCTTCTCATCAGAATCCATGCAAGCAAGAAGATAGGAAAATGGACAAAGCTGTTATGACTGAAAGAAGGAAACCTAGAATTTCATATGCAGAGAAATTAGCCCTCAAAAGTAAAGAAGTAAACATTTTCTCAGGTGAAAAGAAATGTTAAATTCTTTTGAGCAGCCAGAAAATTATTTGTATCAGAAACCTGGATCTACTTAAGAAAGGACAATTAGAGAAGCAAGTAATAAAAGTAGGATCATTTTTTTTTAATTCTCAACTGCTATAAAATGGTTTAAAGTGCAAAGAATGACAAGGTAATGTGTGCTCGTAATCTAGGGGCAATAAGAATGAAGGGCAGCGATGTCACAAGCAGTTGGAAAGAGGAGGTAGCACCTGTTGTGAGGCACAGGGCACTGGAACTACGCATGGGGAAGTATGAGGTAGATGGTGGAAGCAGAAGGGTTTTTAATGGATGTTGTATTATAAACCTGACATAATCACTAGGCCCATACCTCACAGCCTACACAAGAACCAATTGAAAAATGGATCACAGAACTAAATTCAAGAGCTAAACATGTAGGATTCCTAGAAAATTAAGAGGAGAATTGGGACAATGCTTAAAAATAAGGATGAACAGATATATTAGGCTTCATCAAAATTTAAAATTTTTGTGCTTCAGTCCTATATGGATAACCCACTATGACTACTGGACTATATTGGATTATTTTGCTGAATTCACGCACCTATAATATTTAAATGGCAATGGAATACTCATCTCTGACAAAACTAAATGAAAAAGGAGAATATAAATGAAGGACCATCTTGTATCTGTATACACAAAATAGGATAGATATACAGCTACTTTCTCTTAATTCAATGAGAAGTAAGATTTGTACTAATAGTGTTTGGACAGGATATCATGTCAGCATCTTGTACTATGAATAACTACTACAAAGACAACAATATGCATGGTATTAATTATTGTAACTGTCCTACTATCCTGTTTTGAAACTGTCTCATTACTATTTGTTTCTCAATAAAATAACTAAATAAAAATTGAATATTGATATAAAAAATAAAATAAAATAATTTTTTTGTGCTTTCAAAGATGTCATCAAAAAGGCTGGTCAAATAGCTCAGCAGATTAAAGCACCTGCAGAGGTGCAGGGGCAGCAGGTTCGATCCCCAAGCCTTTCGTGCTGGCCCCGCCCCCAGGGCGCGCTGAGACTGCAATCCAGACTGGGTGTGGTGACGCATGCCTGTAATTCCAGCACTTGGGAGGCTGTAAGCAGGCTGATTACTACAAGTCCGATCTAGTAGTGAGACCCTGAATACCCTGAAGACCCTTCCCTAAGAATCAAAAAAAAGATGAAAGGATAATTCACAGAATGTGAGAAAATATTTCAAAATCACATGTCTGATAAATAATCTCATCATTTGGTATTAGTTTCAACGATGCAACAGTCCTTGAGAAACGCATAGTAAGTCTATTACGTCCCTCGGCAGCAAGGAGATATGACAAGGCACACTTTGTTTTAGATTCACTTTCATGACAAGCTTGTTTTCTGGTTTTGCCAACACTACAGAAGTCAAAGAGGAGAAAGCCAGAAGGCCAGGCCTCCTTACTGCAAAAGACCCTACATCATCTGATTAGAATTTGGACTTCGAGGTCCAGACTGAACATCTTCTTTTACACTATGACATATTTATGGGGGAGGAGAGCAGGGAAGGAGCTGGGCTAAACAGGGGCTGCGCAGCCTTAAATGCCCTCATTGTTAGCTGAGAGGAAGTGGAAAAGTGAGCCATGTACCAACAACAGTGTAAGGAACATGGGAGGGAGAATTTAAAAGACAAACTAATAAGTTAAATTTAAAATCCTTCCATGAGCTGATTTCTGGGCTGTGGGTCACTTCAGTTCTCCTCAGCCCTTGCAGCTCAGAGCCCTGTCTCCACTTCAGGGAGAAACAGAAACGCAGGGAGAGCGTTTAGTCGCTCCAGCCTCCTGCAGCTTGCTCTTGCCTGGCCCAGGGAAACCATCAAACACCACCCTCTTGCCTGCATCCTCTGCACCACCCTCTCAGCTGCTCAACAGCGTCCCTCTGTCCATGTGCACCCCTGTGGCTGAAGGAAGTCCCTTAGACCATGTCTTCCCCACAGCCACAGCCCCAATTCCCCACCTTCTAGTGCAGGGAGACGCCAGGGGACCACCACCTCCTTCCCAGGTCCAGTCTGCCCAGGAGCCTGCCACTGGAGGGGGAGCTGTACCTCCTCCACCAAGAAGACAACACACACACACACACACACACACACACACATACACACACACACACACACACACACTGATTCAGTTCCACAGCAAAATCTCCAGAAGAGCCAAAACCTTATCTGTTTTGTTCTCTGCTCTTACCCTTAGGACCAAGAACAGTGATCAAAAACTATTTTGTTGAATTAATATGATCAAGAAATACAGAAGAAAATAGAATATATTCCTACCCAGCGAGTATATCTTAGAGGACTATGTTTCCTTTTCTCTGATTTTGGTACAAGAATAACTTTATTAAAGCAGAAAAGTGAGCATAGTTTTAAAGGCGTCTACCTCCCTCATCTCTTATAACTAACATCTTCACTGAGAAGCTGTACCAGGTTAGGTTTACTTTCTCCTAAGGCTGCTGATTCGGTTTGCCTTGATAATCTCATCTTCATTTCTGCTCCTGGTTCTGGAACCTCATGATTATTCTGAGTCAGCCTCAGAAGCCTGCTGCCTCCTTGAGTTGTTTTTGCATCCCAGAGAAGAGTCACATATACACCTTTATTCTTTGCATCTTCATTTTGAAAGATAGAGTTGTGCTGGCATCCTGTGCTTTATCCTCTTTCTCTAACTCAACCTCAACTTTCTCCAAAGCTCTCAGAATATCCAATCTTTTACTTGCTCCAAAATCCCATTCAGTAGAGCCAGAAGATCTTTTGCAAGATTTCTTCTGAGTTCTAAAGAATTCAAAGCCTTTGTATGGCCCAAAATTTCTTATAAGCATGGACTTGCTAAAATCAAATTGGAAAATTTACAGCCAAGCTGTGTGCTGTTAATGCCTGATAGTCTTGGGGATTCTTGGCCTTAGGATGTAATCCGCTACGTTTTATTAGATTAACAAGCAGCCCAGCAACATTTGTGATGTCCACTGTAGCTAACACAGACAGTGCAGGAGCGCTGGCCAATGTTTGCAAACTTGGAACACAGGCTTCTTTGAGACACTCCTGACTCAAAAACATGGGATGCTTCATGAATTTCATGTTGTCTCTGCGCAGGGGCCATGTAATCTTCTGTGCATCATTCTAGTTTTAGTATCTGTGTTACCGAAACAAACCCAGGGTCATGGTTTTGGTTTGTTGTTGGGCTTTTTGTTTGTTTGTTTGTTTGTTTTTTGTTGGTTTTTTTTTTTTTTTTTTGGAGGGATGGTGTTGGTTGGTTGGTTGGTTGGTTGGTTGGGTTTTTGTGGTACCAGGGATCAAACTTGGGACCTTACACTTGCCAGGCAGGTGCAGGACCATGTTTTGTAAAGCAAGGATTTAGGAATGAGATAGTGACTTAGTCCTGGCTGCTACAAAAAAATACCATAGACTGAGTGGTTCCAACAACACTTACATTCTCACTGTTCTGGAGGCTGAAAGTCCCAGGCCAGGTGCCCACATGGACAGGGCCTAGGAGGAGCCTCTTCCCGCCCTGCCAATGGCATCTGCCTCCTCACTGTGCCCCCACATGGCTGTGCCCTAGTCCTGTGCTAGAAAAATAAAAAGACTCTGCCTTTCCCTTCTTAAAAGGGCACTAATCTCATTAGGAGGACACCATCTCCTGACCTCATCTAAGCCTAATTACTTTGCAAAGTCCTCTCTCCAAATACCCATATCACAAAGCTGTTTAGGGCTTCAACATATGAAACCTGGCAACAGGCTTGGGGGAGCCACAAGTGCTCACTGTGCAACAGATCTATCTTTTTTTTTTTTTTTTTTTTTTTTTTTTTTTTTTTTTTTGCGGAACCGGGGATTGAATTCAGACCCTTACGCTTGCCAGGGAAGTGCTTATTCCACTGAGCCATCTCCCCAGCCCAACAGATCTATCTTTAAAAGACTGAGTTTGTGCAGTGCTGGGATTAAGGGTGCTGGGATTAAGGGCCAGTGATTGCTGTATCAGCCCACTGACTGGATTGGCACCGCCCTAATCTCAGTAAACTGGGTACGATATAAGGGACAGAAAAAGCCTTGTCTTCCCCTATAACTCCCGCTGCTTTTGCTGTCTTTTGCCATAAACTGCTGCCCTCTGCCATGTGCCACTCAGCCTTGGAGTCAGCAGATTATGGACTGAAGCCTCGACAAACTGTGAGCTAAATAAGCATTTTTGCCCTTTAAAAATTTTTTTAAAAAATTAAAAGTTTATTATTTGACTAACCCCTCCAATGAGTTAACTGGTTCCCACTAAGTTGGCTGTTTCCTGGGCTTGCAGGTGGTAAATGTAAGACAAATTTTAGGCTCTCCTAATCAAGAAAATAATTTTTAAAAGACAAATGTAGTCATCCACAGCTATGTGTTCAATATAGTGCAAGTACTGGGGGGGAGGACACGTGCATTTTCTTGCCATTAACCCCTTAACAACTATGTATTCAGCATTTTCATGGTATTAGCTACTGTGAGTAACCGAGAGATGATTTAAGGGAGGGGGAGGTGCTGTGTAATATCTAACCCTTCATCAAAGGGGTATTTTGGTGCCTGGGGGCCTCCCAGAGGGATAGAGAGAAACAACTATATGTGAAATGAAAAATAAAGGAATACAGTTATGGTAATTTAACTATGTAAAACACAGAGAAAGAACTTCCTGAAAGATGGTTAAAAAGAGCACTTGTACAATTCCCCTCTTTGGGCCAGGAAGATGGCTCAGTAGAATAAGTGCTTGCTGGCAAGTGCAAGGGCCTGAGCTCAATCCCCAGTTCCTCCATAAAACAAAAACAATTCCCCTCCTGAAAAGTGGAGACAATAAGGAGGGCAGGCCCACCCAAGAGACCCCACGCCTGGGGTCACACGGCATCTGCTGCACAGTGAACAGGGCCCTCGGGTCCATGCTAGGTTAATAAAATGACAGTGCTCCCTCCCTAGTGTCCCCACCAGTGTGCCAGGCAGGAAGGGAAGGAGCAGGTCCCTCTGAACCACAACTGCCACCTGTTGCTCTCCAGCTGTCACCCACTGTCACAAGCAGCTCACTTCAGAGAACAGCGTAGGATCTCTCTAATCTACTCAGGCTGAATTCAGACTTGTGCTCCTCCTGCCTCAGCTTCCCAAAGTGCTGGGATGAAGCATGCGCCACCGCCCCCAGCCAACTCCACACCCTTCTCAGATTCTGTGTGCAAGGAGAAGCAGCAGTTGAGCCACTTCAAGGACAGACGTCACCCTCTAAACCTCCCAATAAATTTTCCTTACAGTTATAACTGCGGTGAATCAAACGACTCACACAAAGAAAAATATCTGACAGCTAAACCTTAAAATATCTTCCATTTTTCTCTGGAAATGATATAATCATTATACTTCCACAAGATATCAAAATAATAATCAATGATCGTGTACTATGAGACAGCAAAATGGTAAGATAAAAGTGGAAAGGGAGGAAGGTAACTTATGGATGGATGTTATGGATGGATGCCTCTTTATGACAGAGGACATCAGCAAACACGCCTTCATTTCTAAGCCTGCTGGAAAGGAGACTTCAAAAGGTATTAGCAGCAGGGCTCAAATCAGACTTCCACTGAAGAAGGTGAAGACAAAGGCTAATTGTATAGTAAGTAGGGTGAGGACAAAGGAAATGAAGGCCATGGTTTAAAATGTGGGAAACAGCGAGAGGAGTGAAGGCTGTGCCCGGAATTGCCTTGCCCCACCAACACTTGCCTCAGAGCCAGGCTCTCAGAACAGCAAGTGCCCTCTGAAGACGGAGGCGGAGACCCGTAGGGAGGTGGGGTCAGCGTTTGCCCTGCATCTCACGTAGCAAAGAAAGCCATGCTATTTCTGTCAGACGTGTCCTGCACCGTCTAATCCCCTCTCCCAGCTGCCAGGCTTTGCGCTTCTCAACACAACTTAGCAGAAGGAATGAAACTGTAAAAGCAACATGGACAAGCTTCAGCAGCTTGATGGTGAGAGAAGAGGAAAACAAAAAGAGATGGGCGGCATGGCCTCAATTTTAAAAGAGGTCCAAAAGGCAAAGCCAGCGATGGAAGCCCACCAATCGTCACTTGGGGCTGAGGAGACAGGGGTCAAGCGTGCAAGGAAATTGAGAGTGACCCTATCTTGACTGTGGTGTGGTCTCCCCAATCGCAATTACCAGGTTCTTCAAAGCTACACGATTAAAATTGATGAGTTTCATTGTCCGTTCATTCACACATTCATTCATTAGTCAGCAAGTCAGGCTGCAGGCTTTGAGCTACATCTTTTGACTCAAAAGTAGATGATTTTAATGGTTCTATTCTTTTAGCGGTTAAGAGAAATAGTTAAGTGCTTTTCTAAAGCTTAAATTATATTTTGTTTGATATTAGCTAGTAGTAAACATTTCATTTCCTTTTAAAATATATGGAAGATTCTCTAAAATGTATGAGTAAAAATTAAATTATAGCAACAATGTATACCAAATAAACTTTTAAAATTCAAAAAATAAACAAAATAAAATTGATGAGTTTTAAGGTAGATAAGCAATATCCCAATAAAGAGAGGGAAAACATTCTCAGACTGCCCTGGAAACAGTAAAAAGTGAAATATTATTTATCAAAATTTATAGACTAACTCATTCTTTTAAATGTTTGACTTTTTAAGGTTTACAGATAATGTGTGATTTATCATACACAACATGTTTTGAAGTGCACGTCCATTGTGATTAAGTTTTTTTAGGTTTTTTTTTTTTTTTTTTTAATTTTAAAACCAAAGCACTTATTTTGAGTGATTGCTGCGATTCTCAAGATGAACCGGACTCCGCAACTGCGGCTCTCTTGGGTTTAGGTGTCATTCCTTCACGGAATCCATGCCTGAAACTGCAATGTACAATTTTTAGGTATCTCATTCGGCCAGTTCCGGTGGTATTTTGCCTTTTAGCCTTTACACTCCACTCATGCTTTCTCTTGCACTTGGTGGGATAGCCACATTTGCCACAAGTCGACTTCTGAAGGCGGTAGGCCTTAGAGCCACAGCGAGGCACAATGTGTGCGTCTTATTACGACGCTTTCCAAAGGATGACGTTCCCTTGGTCTTCTAGCTTGTGCTGCCGAGACCAAAGAGACTGGAAAAGGTGATTAAGTTTAGCTGGCTAACAAATGCATTACCTCAGGTAGTTAGCATTTTTGCCGAGACTCTTTAAATCATTTTTCAAGAATACAATATATTATCACTGACTGTAGCCACCCTTCTGTACGAATTATCTCTTGAAGTTTTACTGCTGTGTGCCCTTTCCCCAGCTCCTACCTCCCCCAAGACACCCACCCTCTGCTCACCACCAACCTGCTCTCTCCCTGGATCCAACTATTGGAGGTTCCATGTATGAGACAGATCCTGTGGTACGTATCTTCTGAGGTCTGACTTATGTCACTTCACATAGTGTCATATGTGTATGTCTGTGTTGTCACAAGCGAAAATATTTTGATCTTTTCACCCCTGGATGACGTCCCATTGCATACAATGCTGCAATAAACACAGGAATGCAGATGTTTCTTCAACACCAGCCTTTCGTTTTGAATATATACCAGCAAAGCATTTGCTGAATTATATGGTAGTTCCACTTTAAAAATTTGTTTAGGATCCTCTATACCATTTTTAATAATGGTTTAACTAACTTCTTTCCCATTCATAAACTATGCATTCCCCTTTCTCCACATCTTCAACATTTTTTCCTTTATTGATAATTATTCTAAATAGGTTAAGGTGTTATTTTATTGTGATTTTGATTTGCATTTCCCTGGTTATTAGTGATGTTGCATTTGTTTTGCTTTGTTTTTTCCAAATACCTTATGGCTACTGTGTGTCTTAAGAAATGTCTGGCTCTTGTTTTTTGTTGTTGCCATGAAAGGTTGCTTTCTGCTATGTGCTGCTCAGTCTTGTTGTTGCCATGAAAGGTTGCTTTCTGCTATGTGCTGCTCAGACCCAGCTGAATATGGACTGAAACCTCCAGTAACTGTACTGAAGAAGACCTAGAATTCTATGTCAGGAAGTGTGGTGACATTCTTGGTGTAACCAGCAAGCTACCAAAGGATCAACAGGATGCTAAACATATCCTTGAGCACATCTTCTTCTAAGTGGAGGACTTAAAGAAACTGAACCAGGAACATGATGTGGATACAA